CACATGGGTAATGACAGTGTGACCTGGAAGGTCGTGACTAGGTGGAATGGCCTCTCTGATCTGAACCCAAGTGGTGCTCTGTTGTTAGACTTCTGTGCTAGTCATGGTTTGTCTATCATTAACACCATATTCTAAAATAAGGATGTCTATAATTGCACCTGACACCAGAATACCTAGGTCATAGATTGATAACTGACATTGTAGATCTGTCATCTGATTTGTGGCAGTTTGTTTTGGACATTTGGAGGAAGAGAGAAGCTGAGCTGTCTAACTGATCACCACCTGGAAGTGAGTTGAATCAGATGGAGGGGAAGATGCCAAACAGATCTAGTAGGCTCTAACATGTAGTGAGTGTTTTCTGGGAACACTTGGCCAACGAATCCATCAGAAAGATAGTGAAAGATAGTCACCTCACATCTCAGAGAACGCTTTAATTGCATTCCAGGTGAGGCGGGGGACATTGAGTCTGAGTGGACTATGTTCTGCACCTCATTTGATGAGGTGGCTGCCTTGAGCTGTGGCTGCAATGTTGTTGGTGCTTCTTCAAACATCCTTTCATGTTACTGTGTTCATGCGTGCTTATCTGCTCACACAGACTCATGTTCGTGCTGCTGTTCGGCATATTTTTTTAATTGTTTTTATGCTATTAGTGCTTAGCATATTTTTAGATTATATTTTTCTTAATATCTTACAGCTTAATGTTTTTCTTTTACATTTTATTGTTGGATGTAACTGGGACCCTGTGTACACAATTTCATTACACCACATGTACTATATGTGGTGCAAACGCCAATACAGAAAATCTGACTCTGACTCAAACATGTTGATGGACACCCTGGGTTAGGGAGGCTTTCAAGCTGAAGAAGTCCTATTGTTAGCTGGTGGGACTTCGGAGGCAGCTGTGGGTGGCAGCCTTGGCTGTTGATGAGATAAAAGTTCAGATGTGGAAGGAGTTCTGTGAGACCCATAGAGACTCTCGATTGGCTCTGAGGAGATTCTGGCAAACCATCAGGCGGCTGAGGAGGGGAAAGCAGCGCTTTACTAACAGTGTGTTTAGTGAAGATGGGGTGCTGTTGACCTCAACAAGTTATGTCATTGGGAGGTGGAAGGAATAATTCTCAGACCTTCTCAATCCTATCAGCACGTCTTCCATGGAGGCAGTTGAATTGGGGGACTTCAGGGTTCGTCTGTCCACAACTGTGGCTGAGGTAGCTGAGGTAGTTAAAAAGCTCCATGGCGGCAGGGCTCTGGGGGCGGACGAGATCTGATTTCCTTAAGGCGCTGAATGATTTTGGGCTGTCTTTTTGACAGGCTTTTGTAACATCACATGGACGTCAAGGGACATGCCACTGGACTGGCAGACTGGGGTAGTGATTTCCCTTTTCAAAAAGGGAACTGTAGGGTGTGCTCCAAAGGGGCATCACTCTCCTAGTCTGCCTGGTAAGGTCTTTTCAGGGGCGCAGAGAAGTGAGTCTGTTCATTTGTCGAACCTCAAATCAAGGAGGAAAAATTTGGGTTTTGTCCTGGCCATGGAACACTGGACGAGCTCTTTACACTCACTAGGGTCCTCGAGGGGTCATGGGCGTTTACCCATCCAGGACTACATGTGTTTTGTGAAGTTGAAGAAGGCGTTCAACTGTGGTCGTTTGTTTCTCCTTCCTGTCCTCTAAAACACAGCCAGTCAAAGAAGATGGCCACTCGTCCTGAGCCTGGTTCTGTTGGAGGTTTCTTCCGGTTAAAAGGGAGCTTTTCTTTCCACTGTTGCCAGTGTGCTTGCAATCTGTTGGCTTCCTTAGATAGATAACATTTATTAATTTGATTTTTTATGTATGGGAATGTTTTTTTACAGTGCCCTGAGACAAATTCTGTTGTGACTTGGTGCTTTATAAATAAACTGACTTGAAACTGAATTGAATTGTTCCTCGGGGTACCCTGTGAGGAGTGCTCTGTGAGTATGGGATTGGGGGCTCATTGCTATGGGCTCTTCAGATCCTATACAAGTGGTGTGAGAGTTTGGTTTGCATTGTCGGCAGTAAATTGGACCTCTTCAGGGTGGGAGTTGGACTTAGTACATTGTCACTGATTCGGTTCCTAACTTTCATAGACAGAATTTGATGGTGCAGCCAGGGGGCAGAGTGCCTCTGGGGCCTCAGGATTGCATCTCTGGTCTTTGCAGATTATGTGGTCCTGTTGGTATCATCGTGCCGTGATCTTCAGCTCTCATTGGATTGGTTCAGAACTGACTGTAAAACGGCTGGGATGAGAATCAGCACCTCCAAATCTGAGGCCATGATCTTCAGTCAGAAAAGGGTGGATTATTCTCTTTGGGTGGACGGTGAGGTTCTGCCTCAAGTGGAGGAATTTAAGTATCTTTGCATTTTGTTCATGAAATGAGGGAAGAATGGAGCGTGAGACTGACAGACGGAGTAGTGGTATTGCGGACACTGAGCCGGTGAGAGCCTAACGTGACTTCTGACCTAGATACCTCTATAGAATTCAACCTTTGATGTGTGTGTGTGTTTTTATGGATCACACTGTATACATTTCATGATCTTATCTGGGCTGTTTGAAATAGATACAAAATGCAAACACTTCTTACATAAAAGAAGTTACCGGTACATTCTTTAGTTTAAACTCTGATGTGGTTTAGAGTTAGGTTACAAACCTACTGATTTAAGTGTTCCATTGCAGTAATGTCAGCAGTACAGAGAAGCAGCAACCCTGCTGATAAAAACCTGCTTAAGTTCTATCAGGCTAAGAACAATGTTTAAAAATTGTCTTTTAACTATCTGGGGTCTATTCTGTCAGTTTGTTAGCTAAATATCTCATGAACCAATGAAAAGATTTAAAAAATGTTTTTATAAAATAACAATTGGATCATCATCTACAACAATTACCTTTTTGGAGTTAACCCAACAATGGCTGCAATGACCTTATAAAACATAAAAATACCTATAAATCTGTCAGTTTTATAGACATTGTGTTAAAATCTGTTGTGGTATAGCTGAAAGTCATTCATAACACATACTTAAAATGCTCTTTATTACAAGAGATCTTTGCTTTAAACTTTACCAGTAACTTTTGGAGTCATCCCTCTTTGTCTGTTTGTAAAATAACATGAATTTTTAAACAGATTTATATACTATTTTCATTTCATTACCCTTTATTTATACAGGTAGTCTCATTGAGCCACAAGAACTCATTTTCATTAGAGACCTGTTAATTTAATTTATATTTAATTATTAATTAAATATATTATATTAAATATGAATTAATATTCATTTACTATTAAAAAAATAAAATAGTAATCACTTATTACACATTTACATTGGATAGTTTTAAAGTTAACAAAAAATAAAAATAAATAAAATTGCCGCCACAACTAATTGACATGAATCAACAAAGGAATGTGTATACCTCAACTGCATTTAAGAGATAATGAGCTAATGTTTCATGTGATAGTAGCTGAGCTCACTTCACAACACATAGCCTACTCTGAGCATGACATCTTGCAATATTGCAAAGGTTTTAAGGTATGACTGAAATGCCTACAAGTCCTTAATTTCTTCCCATTTAATAATCTTAGTCTAAAACTCTGGAATGAAGTGATGGGCAATCTGCACTCCTTTAAGGAATGCTACGCATTTAATTAATTTGTTTGTTTTCTGTAAAATGACTCAATTTTTTAAACTCTTTTTTCAAATGGTGGCATTTTTGAGTTGTTATTTGTGCTAGTAAATTTACAGCACATTAGGTACAGTAATAAATTATTAGGGTCAATTCTGTTGAATCTGACATTATTTGACAGCCTTGAAAACAAAAACATATGAATTCAATTTTTCTGCAAAAACGATGCTGAATACTGTTATGATGGCTGCAGAACGTTGGCCAAGCTACAATCAAAAGGGAGTAAAATCCTAGCAAAAAACTATAGCAGATAAATGCTAGGTAAAGACTGCAAAACACTTCCTAAAAGATAAAAAGCAAAAGTTTAGTTATAAGCTAAACATAGCAAAACAATAGCTAAACATTAAAAGTATCAACTGGCTAGCTAACAGCTAATAGTAGCTAAACAGTAGCTATAAGCTAAATATAGCCAACGGCTAGCTAAATGCTAAATGAAGAAAAACATCTGTTAAAAACAAAAAGTAAAAGGCCATCTCAAAGCAGAAAAAATATCAGTGAAAAGTATCAAAAGCTGAATAGAAGCTAAACATAGATAAAGTTTTTCTGAAAGCTAAACTTAATAAATGGCTAGCTAAGGAATAAGTGTAGCAAAACTGTAGGTATAAGCTCAAAGTAGTAAAACATTTTCTAACAGCTAAACACAGCAAACATGGCTAACATACTAAAGTAGCAGAAGGCTAGCTAAAATGGTAGCTTGATACAAAAAGTAGTTAAGAGGCTAGCTTAAAGCAAAATGTGACAAAAGGCTATAACTTGAAATAGCATTAGGCTTGCTAGAAAAAGTAGCAAATGTTTGCTAAAAGCCAAAATAATATGAGGGTAGCTGAACTTACAGTAGTAAAAGGCTAGCTGAAAGTAGGAAAGAGGTAGCTACAAGGCAAAACATGCAAAGAATGGCTAAAGGGTAAACATAGTAAAAGGCTACCTCAAATCTAAAAGTAGCAAAAGGCTAGCTAAAAGCAAAAGACAATACATCAGTAGCTAAAAACTAGCATAAGAAAACAAAAGAAGAGAAAGTATGTTGAAGCAGATTTCTAGGAGAACATTATCTCAAGGAATTGCATAATCTCAATGTTTTTTTAAGGAAAACATTTGCAAATATAGTTAGATCTTTTGATAATCTCAAAAGTCATAGCACCTATCTCCTGAATTAACATGTGTGAAAGGCGACAACAGCACAAATCTGCTGCTAAAGTAGGGAAGATGAAAAAAAAACCCACACAGAAACAATGCAGTGCATGTTGAAGCAACATTTATACAAAAAATAGGAATAGTCAAATATAGTGGAAATGATAAGCTCCCAAAATACTCACCATTCATCTGCCTCTCCATGTTTGCTTCAAGTGTGTTGCAGTTCTACTTTCTCCCCGGCAATGTATAGGACGTCCACGTATACAAACACACACACACACACGCACACGCACACACACACACACACACACACACACACACACACACACACACACAGCTGCCTGTTTAAATATGCAGAGGGTCGGACTCTCCTGATGTCATGGAATTTCCCACTGATGTCTGAGACTAATCCAGGACAGTCTGAAGCATGGAGCAAAGCTGCCTCTTACGTTTGCAACTTTTCTTTAAAGTACATTTTTATGCAGGTTTAAAAACAAAGATCTACATTAAAATCTATTCAGTTTAAGGGAACCCTAAAGCAAGTGCAACAATACAGGGAATCTTCAGTGGCATAAAGAATAAGCTCATTACAGATAAGATAATAAAATGGTGCTACCAAGAATAATGAACCTCAATGAACTCTGCTGTCCACTGGCAGCCAAATCAGTGTTAGTCCATAAATAATAGCTTGGCTAATATTTAAAGAGGCATTGAACTTTGTGACCTTGACTAAGACAGCATCATAACAAAAAGTAAAGTTAGAACAAAATTAAATGCCAACCATCAATTAAAGGAAGATTTATATGAATTTAAAGCAGTTTTATGTTAAGTTATTAATTCTGAAAGTTTCATTAAAATGTGCTAAGCGATTTAAGGGATAGTTTGATAAAAGATAAGCATGGACATCTCCAAAATTTAATTAATTGTAAAGGCACATCCAATAATTATTACCTGAATGTTTCATTAAAATACATTTGGTCATTCATGAGATATTTTGCTAACAGACAAACACTGTTGACTACAGTAGTGAATGGCAACGTTTTTAAATCAGCATTCTTGTTATCAATTAATGTTTAGAGTAGCTATGTGTTGGGAATTAATCTCAGTTACTGCTACATCAACATTTGGCTTAATTTCTGCACAATTGTCAAGGTTATACAGTGATTATGAGACATTCATGCTTGCAAAGTTTTTTTCATTCTGTGAATGTTTTTGATAGTACGGTTTTAAATTACATATCACGTGCATGCAAAAGTTACTGACTTAATTAAAGTTTTATACTGTGCCTTAAGTTTCAATGTTTTTTCTGCTCATAAGTAGCAGCACTTTGCAGAGCAGAGTTGAGGCATTGGTGCACAAGAAAGATTAAGCACATGTGTGAAACATATGAGAACTGAAGACAAATACATGGTTATGTAAGCCACAACCAAGTGGCTGAATTCTACTCTGTTACCCCTAGAATGAACATTGGTCTCTCATTCACTGTGGAAAGTTACTAAACCCAACCTTACAGTGGAAAATTACAAAATCCAAGAACTGTCTGCATAGGTCACATGGGGTATTTCATTAATCAGTGTAAAGAAAGAAAGAGGAGCACAATGTAGGTCTAAACTGAAGGACAAAGTAGGGACCAAAGTTCATGTTGCGTGGGAAAAACTAGTTAAGCGAAAGTTGTAAAAGGTGAGTTGCATCAGTAATGATGACGATCATACTTTCAGACCATCCACGTGGGAATAGTTTTTTTTCTTCTCTACATTTATTTTATTTGTTGTTTCAAAAATTATAGAGACATGGCACCACTCTTTTACATCTTAAAATCTGCACATTTTAGAAGTAATTTCAGGTCCACAAAAATGCAGAAAACAACCCAAAAATAATATAGTAACTATGCTACACCCATATGTGATGCTGTCTTATTGCCATGAAAATACATCAGAAACAAATGTAAATAAATTTAAAAATACATTATACATTGTACAACCTATATGGTTCAAACTGTAAAAAACAGCACACAAAAAAACAAGGACTGCAAATACGAGAACAAGAACTAGCCCTTTTTTGAGGACTAAAAACAAAGTGAAACTCTTACTTTGTGTCACAAGAAAACAACAACAGTGCAGGAGTGTTGACTGGGAGGTGTCTCAGTTCAAATGCATTAATATAATGTATGGTTTTCAGGGACAGTACGCAGGAGGAGATGGTTAGAGGCAAGGTTTTTTCTTGTGATGTTCAAAGTAAATTCTTTAAAAAACGTCAGTCTATTCAAACAGTTCCTGTTTTCCACATTGCACATTTCAAGGCTTGTTGTAAGTGCATGTCTATTTTATAATCTGCTTTAAACAGCAATGACTGTTAGTAATCACTAACCAAATCAGGATTTTAAAACATCACACTCAAAGCATTTTAGATGGTTGTCGGTCTCCTTGAACCCACCCCCAGTTCCTGGCAAAAGCGGTATTGAGTTAGCACAGGTTCTTTGGTGGTAGAGCTGAAGCAAATGTAAACAGAAAGAGCAAGTGCCAAGCAAATTCTTGCTCTGATTTAACATTGGAGCCCATTTGGTGGGGAAAAAAAGAATCCCTTTGAGGGTCTTATTAATCTAGTCACTTTGTCCACCTTTGAGAATGCAGACTCTAAGGACCCATGGGAGAATTAGTTCATTACCTTTGCGGGAGATCACTGAGGTAGTTAATAAGTTCACCAGCGGAAGTGTGGTACAAGTGGACGAGAATGGCTCTGAGCTGTTGAAGGCACTGGACATTGTGTAGCTGTTATGGTTGACAGAACTCTTCAATCTTGCATGAAGGGCTAGGACAACACTTGCAGTGTTAGATTGGAATGGTGGTAACTATTTATTTTATCAGAGAGACCATAAAATGTCTTCCAGCTATCAAAAAAATCCCACTTCTCAACCTCTGGGAGAAAAAAAATACTCCAGGGTGTTGGAAAGAAGGCTCCAATTGCTGTCTAACTTTGGATCCAGGAGGCTCTAGCCAGGTCATGGAACAGTGAACCAGATCTTTACTCTTGCAGACAGGGATCATGGAAGTTTGACTCTCTTAATCTTTAATCCTTGGTGGATTTGTAGAAATCTTATTACTGTAATTCCTGTATAACCAAAGCAAGAGTTGCGTTTGTATCGGCAGCACAAAGTTGACTTCATTCACGGTGCATGTTGGATTTTGCCAGGGTTGCCCTCACCTTGTATTCAATCCTGTTTGTGGTGTTCATGAACAGGATCACAAGGTACAGCCGTGAAAAGGAGGGTATCGAGTTTGGGAAACTCATGGTCTTGTCTCTGCTTTTTGAATATGTGGTTCTGTGACTCACGTTTAAGTGTGAAGCTGGGATTAGAGTCGACTCTTCTATCTATAATCTTATGCCATAATTTGCAACTGAAAAAAAGGCAGAATGGTCTCTTGTTTTTTTGGAATGAAGTGAACCATAATAGGAGGAGCTAAAGTATTTGGGAATCTTGTTCATGAGTGATGCAGGCTGGTGTGGCAGATGAACTGATGAACTGGGGACTTGTCTGGAGTAATGACGTTTGTCAGTGGTCTAACATGGTGAAAAAGGAGCTTAGTCAAACAACAAAAGCTCTGAGTTTACTGGTCTATCTACATTTCAGACCTCACGTATGGTTATGGCTCATGGTTGACAGAATGAGATCCTGCATACAAGTTGCTATAAAGAGCTTTACTCTTTGGCATGGTCATTTTCAGTGTTAGGGTTAGGGTTAGGAGCTTTGTCATCTGTGTGTAGCCTGGACTAGAACCACTGCTTCTTCACAACAAAAATAGCCAGTTAAAGTAGTTTGGGCAATATACATAAACAACACCTTTTCTCTTACTTCTAACCTTTATCATACATTTGCTAATATAAGCAAACCATTACGTCCGTATGCTCTTTGTGGACTTCACATCTGCCTTCAACACCATGATCCCCCAAACCCTGATGGACAAACTATCCAC